AACAGCAAAAGGATAAAGAACATTATTATTATGATATGTTAATAAAACAGTATGACTTTAATATGACTTTACATATATCTATTGTTTGAAAAAAGAAACAAAGAACTTTTTATATATACAGTAGGTGAAAGATATAAGAAGCCATCTTCTACTTGTGCTAAGGTGCATGCATAGTATTCAATGAGAAGAGGAGAGAGACAATATCAACCAATTGTTCTCATCAGCAAGGTTTCATGCTTATTGCTTGTGCATGGTTTTATTTGCGAGAACTATATTGCTTACAACCTCTCACTCACTATTAAATTTGTGTCTGCATAGTTGCACCCTAACACTTAACAACCTGTAATTGTTGCATTTGGGTCATGATTTTTCATGTTTTCAAGCAGATTCCACTGTATTCGCCTTGAAGTTACAGTTCACTGTGGTTTCACAGTCATATTATCCCTTGAATCAGTTTCTTTGAAGAAGTATACTCCATGATAGCCCAGATATACCGAAAGATGCTTAACACTTGTATCCCAACTACAACAGCAACAATGTCTTGAGTCAACTACTTTCATGCAAGACAAAGCACCTTTTTACATTGGACATTGACTGTAAACAACAGTTTGTGACATCATTTCACTAATAATGGAGCAATTAATCATGTATTTTTTATACTGTTCAATTGCCTTGTTTTCTCAGATCTTAATCTGGGTGATTTTTGAGTGTGGAGTCAAAAAGTATGATTTATCAAGAACGTGTTGCAAATTTAGAAGCTTTGAAAGATTGTACTATGTATGACAGACACACTACCATGTTTCTCACATGTCCTGAAATGTCACTATGCCCAATTTGATTGAATTTGGGATATATATAGGGAGTCGTCATTGATCCCATGGAAGTACAAGCTACCATGGGGTCAATGGTGACTCCACTCCCTATTTCCAAGTCTTATTGCTTTTACAAAAATGTTTGTAATTTTTTTTCTTTTGTGACTTTTAATAATTTTACTCAATTTAGCCTGTCTAAAAATAATTTTCTGCCAGTGTCTTTATTTTGCAAGTATCATTCAAACTTACATCTGTTACCATGGGGTCAACTGTGACCTCAAAGTCAATTGTTTTCATTTTCATAGGTCCCAGTGTTTCTTTCTGACATTTTATGTGGTGACTTTTGTGCGGTATTGTTAAATATTTCTTAATGATGGTTACTGATTTGTTTTTGAAATTTTATAATTGTCCTCAGATGAATAATTATTTGATAAACTGCTAGAATTATATTGCTTTTCCAATTCTATTATAGCAATCTCATTATCATCTGAGTAGTGTTCATAGTTACCATACAAGACTTCTTCATCGGTATCATATCTATCTCCTACTTTTTCAAACAACACATTGTGAATTTGACGGTTTATGGGTTTAGAACTCTCCAATTTGGTACCAAATGATCATGACTAAAATGAACATTTCTAATGGGACAAATGATTGTATGTTCTACGTTTCTTTGTAAATAGAAAACAGCATAAACTGTTATTCTTTCTCAACATTCTTGACAATGCTACTCTAAAAACATTTATAGTATGGATACACATGAATGCAAATTGGAATGAAAAAAAGGCTTAGGAGAAGGTTATTTCTCTTAGAAATAGAAAATCACCAATAAAAAAAAGCCATGAAAAATACCAAAAACTGCCACCCTACCAGAGAGGAGATGAAAATTTGTCTTAGGTGAAAAAGAGAAGATGCATTCAAGTTGTTGTTCTAAATGTACAAACTTTTAATGTTCTGAATAACTAAATTGTATTGAATATGCCCAAGAATACAATAATGAAAATGTCAAAAGGTAAATAACATCTTGATAGGACAATTCCAGAACTACAGTAGTATATTAAGTAGTCATCTTGCTGAGAAAGTAGTAGGAATCTATATTTATATATGTATATTTGTCTATTTGTGTATAATAAAAAATAAGTATGTAACATAACATTTTATACTTTCAGTATAAGTAGAAATTAACCATATAATAAAAAAAATCACTTAAATATATTCTTAGAAAGTACTGGGGTCAGCCCTTACACCATGGTATTCAGTGTAATAATAAAAAGTTGATAGTACAAGGGTTAAGGATACATTGTAAAAAACTAACTTTTTAGAACAAAATTCAAATATAAATTTTAATGAATATTCTAAACATTTATACTGTGTTACAATTTCTTATTTGGCACTTGTTCATTTTCATAATTAAGTTGGAAGGCCACACAGTAAAGTTTTTAAGGCAGTTTGCCGTTGATAATGAATCTTTATGCAAGCATTTTCTTTTACCTTACTGCTCTTTTTGTTCACCCATTTTGCTCATCTTTTTATTCCTAATTTATCTTCTACTCTGCTTTCTCTGTTATTATCTTAGAGACATACCATGCAGGTCAAGTACATTAAGTATTGTGCAAAATAATGACTGTAACAGTAGAAGTCTGTAACATTCAAAAAGCAAAAACTTTTTTTATTTGTAAAGTGATCAGAAAGATTTTACTTTTATTTAAACGTTTGTTTTTTAAAATATATTTAAGTCTTTTTCCATTCCTTCTGAAGTTTCTTTTGAATGTTCTTCATAAGATATTTGATAGTATTTCCTTCCATCATTGTGACTGCTCTTTTCAACTTCAGAGAAAAATCTTTAATGTCTTTTGCTGTTTGTTCTGTTTTTTTTATTCTTTTTAAGTTTATTTTTTAAAAGAGATTAGTGTTTTTTTTTTTATTGGTTGGCATTGTGCTACAATTGGTTCATTTGTGTCTCTAGGTACAAAATTGACTGTATGCCATTCCAGCCAACTTACTGTGGATTTTGCATCATATATTGTTACCAAATCCAGCCAAAACAAAGTATGGTTACCATAATTTCTTAAAAAAAAGAAGACAGCTGTTTTAAACATTTGTTAATATAAATTTTAGTACTGATGTTTCCTTTCATCACGAAAAACAAACTTTTCAATCCATACTGGCAACTGGCCTTTCTATACCAAATATCTTATATTTTGAGCCAAACTGTTTGACACCAATTGATTACGGATTGCAATTGCTGGATCCAGCACTGCAGATCTGCAAATACTCAATTAACTTTCTAAATAATGGTGCAAAAATCTATGTTGTCGGCATTGCCTCTTTGCTACATGCGCTATCACTTGGCAGCAAGAGTGATGTTGCCGTTCAGTGCAGCATGTGCTACACCCCCTCTCTACACTGCACTGACAGCCCTTTTACCTCTGCTGATCTATTTGCCAGTTGACTTTCTGCTCTCGCTAAATAAAGTGTCTTCGTGCTAAATAAAATAAGTAACTCCTATCCTAGTCTTAGTGCATAATTCTAATTTATGGTCAGTTGTGACATCAATGAATCACATGATGGAATGATCACAGTTTAAGCCTATGGGGAGCTGCAGCCTCGTGGCTTGTCCACAAAACTTAACCTATCCCTCCGGGAGATGATCGTCACTAGCTAATAGAAAACCTTTTATCAGGTCAGTCCATAAGTTCATGCGTATTTTATGACCTTGAGAAAAATCGTGTTTTGCTGTTAAAATTGTCATACTTTTGTACTAATGTGATACTTTTTACACTGAAGTGTTAAATTGGATCTCATTCATATAATACTGTTCCGAATTGGGAACATTTCAGTTGTTTATTTTCGTTAAAATGGAAGTAACAGATGAATATAAGAGACATGTTTTATACTTTTTATTTTTAAGTGGTGAGAATGCTACAAATGCAACCAAAAAATTAAATACTGTTCATAATCAAACTGTGATTAGTGTAAGGACTGCGCAGAAGTGGTTTGAAAGATTTAGAAATAATGATTTTAGTGTGGAGGATAAGGCTTGTACTGGACGATTTGTTGACTTTGATGATGATGCTCTCTCTGCACTAGTTGAAGCAGAACCATCTTTAACAGTTGATGAAATTGCAAAACGTTTAAATTCATCTCATGGAACTGTTCATAGACATCTACAACAAATCAGAAAAGTTTCAAAACTAGGAAAATGGATACCACATGAACTGTCAATAGCTAATCGACAACAATGTGTAAACATTTGCACGTCTCTTTTATCCCGCATTACTTTAGAACCTTTTCTTGGTTGGCTGGTTACTGGAGATGAAAAATGGATCCTCTATAATAATGTGACGAGAAAAAGACAATGGACAGATCGCAACAAGCAGCCAAAACCGACTGCAAAAGGTGGGTTGTATCCAAAAAAAATTCTTTTGTCTGTTTGGTGGGATATGTCAAGTGTAATTCACTTTGAGCTGTTAGAACCTAATCAAACAATTATAGCTCAAATGTATTGTCATCAATTAGAGCATTTAAATGAAAAATTGAAAAAAAAATTGATGGTCATTAGTGAACAGAAAGCAGGTTCTCTTGCAACATGACAATGCCAGACCACATGCTGCAAAAATAACTGTAGAGAAACCCAAAAGCTTCAACTGGGAAATTTTATCTCATCCACCATATTCGCCAGATATTGCTCCCAGTGATTATCATCTTTTTCGCAGTTTGCAGAATTTTTTAAAGGGAAAACTTTTGAGGATGAGAACAATGTAAAAAAGGCCATTTTACGAAGACGGGATTAAAAAGCTACCATCAAGATGGCAAGAAATTGTATAAAATAATGGTGAATACATTATAGATTGAAATAAAATATAATTAAAATTTTTTGTTGCTTTTTTTGTAGATAAAAATATGCATGAACTTATGGCCTGACCTGAATTAACAAAAATTTATCATTAGGAGTATAATTAACAAAGCTTATTCTTAGACTTTATAAAATTTTTGAAATGTTCTAATTATTAATTATTTAATATTTGATTCCCTTTGTGTTCATTCTTTTTTACTACTGTATTTTATTACATCATTCCATCTTTCTGAATCATACTTAATTTATTTGAAAATTATGACTTAATCAATACTGATTGATGATAAAATTATTTCTTAAAATTAACTAATTATTATTTTTTACTTTTTCAGGTGGAAATTTTTGGCAGCTTTTGTACTGGCTTGTACTTACCTACAAGGTAAGAGAATGTCAGTTTTTTTATTTTTAATGTTTTAAAAGTGTAAGATGGTGATCCAGTGAAATAATTCTCAACTACAAGTTACGTAAAAAATTATTTCACAAGAAGTAAAAATAAGTTGTTTATTAAAAAAGGTTTATACAGCTACACATGCCAAATATTAATATAAAATGAAACATGTATATCACTATCTGGCGGTGTTACGAAAAAAATCATTTATTTTTTTTATATCGTCCTGATGTTCTGCGATACGGCAAACGAGCATTCTTGTCGTTGCCCCTATATGCTTCCCTATATACTTGTCCACCATAGCGGCTCTCATCAGAAGAGCGATGCTACTTCCCTCATTGCAAGCTCTAATAAAAGTCGAATTGGAAATCGTAAGAACGGCAGTACATCATGCAGGATTCACAAGTGCCAAATTTACACATGTACTACGTAGGGTAAAAGATTCCCTTTTCCCGTTTACCACACTACGTAACAAAAAAGAAATGTCTAGAGTACAATCAGCGCTGTTGTACCTAGGAGCACCGTCCATACTTATTAGCCGTATTTTCCGGCGATATAGCTTTACTCTTCCTTTAACTCCCTTACCCAACCTACGCAGGAGTATATGCAATGATCAGGATAAAGTCGACGTTTTAGAAAAATCGGGAATATACGCAGTGCAACTGGAAAATCCAGTAACGGGGACAATTGAGAAGTATATAGGGACAACGACAAGAATGCTCGCTTGCCGAATCATTTATTTTGCAAGCACTTTCAACAGTCTAAAACTGTCTTCTTCAGACAGAATCATTATTAGAGCTTCTGGAGAACAAGACATTGAATTCAAGAAAAAGCTTCTGAACATCAACTAATGTTTTTTCAAAATTATTTGTCCCATCTGTGCATGGAAATTTAAATTATACATGTATAGTTTACAAAATTATACATTAATACAAAATACAATTAAATGTAAAGTAAAACATCAAAAATGAATGGATTAAAATAAAGTACATAAATAATAATGAGTTAAATAGTCAATAAATAAACACATAGTGGTGCTACATATATTTTTTAAGTAATAAGAACTAATTTATAGTCTTTCTTTAAAAACTGATCTCCATGCTCTGGAGAATGTATCTGCCTCCCCTATAATTTATGACCTTGTCTTGAAAATTAGCTTTGTAAATTTTGAGAATCTCTGGATGTTTTAGATAAGTCCAGTTCCTACTAGGATGTATTAATCTTGTAATAAGAAAAGTACTCTTATATCATTTCAGATGCAAATATTGCTAATGTGGTGGTAAGGGACCCTTTTGTATAGAATAATGATACTCCTTGATAAGCTTGTAGAGAGATCAAGCCATTGCTTTTATGTAGATCCCACTTCTTGTTGAATCTGTTGTCTATAATGGGGATAGAATATACCCCATGATGAATAGTGTGTGTTGAGAGGGTCCTTGGCATTTCGTAATAAAGAGAATACAGTTGGGTTTCTCATATAGAAGATACTAAGTTGGTTTGTTCTTGCAATTTGTTGGTATACCTTAGAAAGATGTTTGTCAAAGCTAATTTTTGGGACGAGGCTGTAAATTTAGGGAGGCAGATACATTCTCCAAAGCATGGAGATCTATTTTTGAAGATAAATTAGATCTTATTATTCAAAAAATAATCATCATTTTTTACATTGGTGTTTTCCAACCAATGATATGATTGCTCCTTGCATTTTAAAGTAAAGTTTGAATTTTCACATTGACATTTAACTGGCTTTAACTTGAAAATGATGATTTAAAAATTGTCAAATGCTTGTTTTTCATTATTACGTAGGCTGCTCTTTTTTGTAACCTCCGATGGTCCATAGAAAAAAAGACAAGTGTAAATAACAAAATTAATTTATTACCAAAAGTTAGGTATAAACAAACAACACACAAGAATCTTATTATATCCTAATAACAATTAATTTTAATTAAACTAATGTTTTTGACCATAATCATGGTTTTCTTGACCATGGCTTTTTATTAGACTTTTTACCAATACAATTTGAATATGGAATACTTCAAACAGTGTGATTAAAGTTATTTTAAAATATCGAAACATTTAAACATTAGAAGATAATTTTGAGCTGTATGTACTACAATTAAGTACAAACATGGTTACTTTTCAACATAATCACTGTGAGGATTGAGGCATTTGTTTATCTGTGGGTGAGCTTTGAAATCCACTCTTCATAGAATATTGCCGTCAGTGATTGAGATGGTCCTTAACATTTTGAAGATAGTCATTGGTCTCAAACCTCTGCCTTGCTAGCCAAGTTTTCAATTCAGGAAAGAGGTGGAAGTCTTCACAGATTAAAGATGTGAAGACTTTCACCTTTCGACTTCCACCTAACTTGAAACTTTTTAAACACTTGGCGTACAATGCCAATTTAACGCCAAACAACTTCCACCTCTTTCCTGAACTAAAAAGTGGTTAGGAGGGCAGAAGTTCAAGAGTAATGACAATCTTCAAAACAGCATTAAGGATCATCTCAATCACTGACGGCAACATTCTATGATAAAGGGACAGAAAATCTTGTCCACAGATATGACAAATCTTTACGGTGATTATGTCAAAAAGTAACCATGTTTGTACCTAACTTTCGATAATAAATTCATTTTGTTATTTACACTTGTCTTTCTTTTATGATCCATTGGAGATTGGAAAAAAATTGCCCTCGTATTTTAGTAGGTATAATTTCTGTTGGATATTTCTCAGATAATTACTTGCATTGTCGCTACTATTGATGCATTGTTCTTTCAAAATTAGTTTAAAAATTTCTAGCAACTCTGCTGTTCACGATTTCTGTTTATTTAGTTGGTTCCATTGAAATCTGCTGATACCCTGGATTCACTGGCATACTGGGCAAAAGTGGTAAACATACTGTAATAATATTATGTATATCAATGTTTTCATGCTTCTTTGTGCTAATGATCTATTGGTTTGAGCCAACATGCATAAGTTGTCTGCCGAATCTTGAGGTAGTGATATGAATCTTGTGAATTGGGATAGTATATGTCCCAGGGACTTTATTTGTATCTATTTTTCTTGGGTATTAGTTAATAATTTGTGTGCTGCTGTTCCACATCTGTATTAGGGATTGTATACTGGTTTACCGATTTATCGGTTAACTGATAAATCGGTAAACCAGTATACAATCCCTAATACAGATGTGGAACAGCAGCACACAAATTATTAACTAATACCCAAGAAAAATAGATACAAATAAAGTCCCTGGGACATATACTATCCCAATTCACAAGATTCATATCACTACCTCAAGATTCGACAGACAACTTATGCATGTTGGCTCAAACCAATAGATCATTATCGGTAAATTTCAAAAATTTACCGGTAATTCTGTATATGAAAAATTCATACTAGAAATTTTTATGTAGAGAATATTGTGTTTATAGATATTTAAAAGGGCTAAAGGGACATTGAAAAAAAAAACCAGATAAGTGTAAGCAACAATATACCTAATTATTAATTTTATGTGAGATATTTTTTGTTTAATTTTAATTTAAACTTTCTTGGGTTTGAGAGGCACTGTAAATTGTACAGAAAGCTCTAGTTAGCATATGTGATTTGTGCTCTGCCGTTTTTTGAGATTTTTAAAGGTTTAAAATCTTTACAATCAACGTTTTTCTTAAAGAGTAAGTAAATATCT